CTGAAGTAAAAACCAAATTCCAACTTGAGCTGAAATATAAATTAGAAACCTTGGATTCGGATTGCCTTACAGTGGACCAACACTTGGAGGAAATAGAGAAAATACTAAAAGAAATGGCTAAGGAAGTGATTTGTATTCAGGAGAAACGAAAAGCTAAGATGTGGAAGACAGAATCATGCGAAAAGGCAGTAGTGGAAAGAAGAAAAATGAAAGTCCTCTGCCTAACTACAACTGATCAAGTTGCTCAGGACAAGTACACAGCTGCCAAGAAAAAGGCATACAGAACTATAAGATTGGCAAAAAGGAAATTCTTCAAAGAAAGATTGCAAACCATTGAGGACAACTGGCAGGCTGGAGATATATGCTAATTCTATGTAGACATTAGGTAAGAATGGGTTGGATAAAAGTGAGAAATACTCAAATGCGACAAAAAGAGGGCATTCTGACAGCATCTAAAGAAAGTATATTGAACATCTGAAAAGAACATTTCCAGGAACTTCTCAATCAAGTAGTCCCCACGAATGAACAAGACATGGACCACACTGAGGAACTTGACCCAGAAGTGGTTGAAAAACCAGATATACTGGATTTAGAAATAGCTATCCAAAGGCTCAAAACAAGAAAGAACCCAAGGATAGACAACTTACCATCAGAACTGTTTAATGAAGGAGGAGACGCCTTAAGAGCCAAGCTACTACAACTAATCCAGAAAATATGAGAAGAGGAAAAGATTCCTGATGCTCGGAACACAGACCTAATCTGTCCTATCCTAAAGAAAGGCTCCATGTATCAGTGTAGTAATTACAGAGGTATAGCAATCCTTCTGGTTGCCTACAAGATAATGAACAATATCTTACTCAATTGGATACATCCGTATTATGAGAATAAAATAGGCAACCACTAATCTGGATTCAGAAAATGGAGGAGCACGGTAGACAGAATCTTTATCCTAAGACAAGTACTCGAAAAACGAAGGGAAGTAGCTCAGGACGTCTAAGCCCTATTTGTCGATTTCAAAGCAGCCTATGATTCTGTGGATAGGAGCTGTCTTTGGAAAATCATGATTGAACTGGGAATTTCCGGTAAGTTGGTGAGATTACCAAAGGCCTGTACAAATGACCCCAAATGTAGGGTCCTAATACAAGGAGAAGTATCTGAAACATTCAAAGTTCGAACGGGCTTATGGCAAGGAGATGGACTACCACCAATGTTGTTCAACTTAGCCCTGGAGAAGGTAATAAGAGCAACATCATAGGAAAATGGAGGGGTCCGCATTGGGATGAATCATAAAATTCTTGGATACTCAGATGATATAGCTGTCCTTGGATGAAATCAAGAAGACATTAAGAAACTCACTACAACACTGATAAGAAAGGCAGAGCAGATCGGCCTATATGTACATAAAAATAAAACAAAATATATGATAATAAGCCGAAAATATCACCCCAATAACAGGATCTGGGTAGTAGGAAAATCATTCCGAGAGTAGAAAAATTAAAATACCTTGGCTCCACAACAACTTCAATGAATGACCGACAGGCAGAAATAGACCAATGTATAACTAGTGCAAACAGAGCTTTCTTCTCTCTCTCAAAGGTATTGCATTTCTGAAAATCTCAAACTAAGGATGTACAATGCTATGATAAAACCAGTTCTAATATATGGCTGTGAGACCTGGACACTAACTAGCACCCTTGAAAAAAATGTAGAAAGATTTGAGAGAAAAATGCTATGCACGATAACCAGAGTGATCTGGGTTTGGATTACTAACACATGGAGAAGAAAGACCAATAAAGAACTGCTAACAGAAACTGGTCAATCAATATCCCATGATATAAAAGCATGGAGGTTAAAATGAGCAGGTCATCTAGCTCTTAATAATCCATCTGGAAGCCTCTACATAACAATAGAATGCCTCAATAGAAGGCAAAAGACCACATGGGAGGCCGAAAAGCAGACGGATAGGTAGAATCAACAAACATGCATGCAGATAAATGGAATGAAATAGCCCAAGACAGGCAGAGATGGAGCAGGTGGCAAAAAATCTACATGGTCTGTAACACCAACAGAAAATAAAGTCTAAAACTTTTATTATTTAATTTCACTACTGTTAAATAATTTATGTACAATTAGTATGCTTGCTCCAAGAATTGTCTGTAAATTATAAAATAAAATATACATTCTTCTTCGATAGCTTTACAGCCTAGGGTGGGCCTTGGCTTCCTGAACATAAAATATACATATTGAAGTATATTTATTTATTCATTTATTTTTAACTTGATTTCTTCACCCACACTAGTATTGACAATCTGCGAGTCTTGAGTTGGGAAGAATACTTGTATTGGCATTGCACAGTGATGGAGAAGAGTGTCCAGCGGCATCCCTTCCTTCCTTGATTTATGTATACTTTTTAAGCGAGGAGATTCCTCATCCACCATCTTTTGAGCCTTCTACTCCTAAATGTGTTTTCAGGCATGATAAATATAGCCATGTCTTGAATCAGTGACTCTGTATGTCTGTCTAAGTTATTGTGAAATCTTTTGTAGTTTGTTCATATGAAGTCATTAACTATTGGCATTTGTTGGTCGTTATGTAAAATAATATCCCTAATATACCAGGGAACTTTGGTTGTAGTCCTGGAAGTTTTTGATTGAAGAATTATATATATTTAGTTATATTTGGATTAGTATGTCATGTAGAACTACATAGAGTAGAGACACCTACATTGAGGTTTAATAAATTAGGAAAATATTAAAAGATTGATATTAAATAAACAATATTGAAGAATTCTATTCGAGTCTTTTTCTAAGGGAGGCCATTCTGCTTTACTATCATAAATAAGAAATTATACATAAATATCAATGGATCCAAAAAAATTTAAAAAGACGTTCTGTTTTTTTGTATTTGTTGAGGATTATACAAAAAAAAAAAGCCATCTTGTTAAGTAAAATCTAACAGTTATAGCGAGAGTTCTAAAAATTATAAAAGCAAAAATAAAAAAATTAGTAAGATGAAAGTAAATATATAATAAATACTACATAAAGATATTTAATCCAATAAAACATTAACAGTGCACTATTCAGTGTTCTGTTGATTACCACCAGTCAGTCTTCTTTGCCATAAAACTAGCTACTTCATTCATCTTCCAGCTTGATTTGCAAAGCTTGTGCTGCTTCTATTTGCAGGAAATTTTCCACCAAATAATTATCACAAACCTCGGTTCTTTAACAATATGACTCATTCCATGTGGTAATTTTTTTAACATTAAAAAATGTTGTCTTTACAACACAATGTGAACAAAACTATATAACTATAAATCATTCTAAACCAACAGAACATATCAAAACTATTAAAAATTAAACTCAAAAAAGCAATTTTTTCTTTAAATATAAAATTAAAAAAACAAGAATTATTTTTAAATGAAGATCCACTGATGAAGACATTGATTTAAAGACTTATATTGTTTTAATTTAATTTAACTCATCCAGAGCATCAAATTAAATTTCTTTCTTAGAGAATTATAAATGAAGATGGAGCAGTTAACAAATTCCCTTTTTTTCAATGTGAGTTTCAAGATTATTATAAATAGTATTCATAATAATCTTGAAGAAGTATTTATTAAATATTACTACCATTATAATAATAATAATAATCTTGAAGTAGTATTTATTAAATACTACTACCATTATATAGTACATGTACCAATTTATTATTTGTAACTACTACTACATATGCATCGATGATTATGATACTAAATTTATAAACAAAATACAAAAAGAATTGTTTTTAAGATTAATCATATAAATGAAGCTAATATAAAACAGTTTTTTTGGCTTCTTTTACAAGCAATTTTACATTCCCTTGCTATTATTACCTTCTTTTATTTTTCAAATATGAACATAATAATTTTGTTCATAATAATAATTCACTGAGGCTTATCTAGTTTTAGGGCTTAGCTAATCTAACAATTTCAAACTAATAACTTAATAGAAGAGAAGATTGGTTTGGGTGACCAGTCAAAAAAAAAAAAAAAAAAAAAAAAATTAAAAATAAATAGTATATTTATTTTAATTGTATTATGTTATGTTGCATTGTATTATATTATATTATGTATTGTATTATAAAAATAAAAATACAAATATAAATAATTTCAAACCAAATCATTTCACCTTTAATATAATATGCTGAATAGTGGTATTCTCAAAGGGTAAATTGCAGAATAAAAACAATAATTTTTTTTGTACATATCTTTATGTTACAAATTATTTTAACTTAAATAATAAATGTAATATATCACAGGACAAAAAAATTTAATTAATTGTTAAAATTTATTACACACAACCAAGTAAAGCATAATACATAATACATGAGCATTTTTTTTCTCTAAGTTACTATCCGTTCTCTTAAAACAAATTCCAAAACCATAGAGTTTATCAAGTCTGCCACCTCCATCTTATGGTATTGCAAATTATGGTTCTGCTTTGCTTGTAATTGTAAGATCTAAAACAATAAATAAGGATTTAATTATTCTCCAAATATAAAATAGTCTTGTACAGCTCTGTCACAAGAATATGATAGACATAGGGCAAACACAATCCAGCAATAAGTTAGAACTAACAACCTCCATCTAACCTTTAAAAAAAGTATTATCTTTAAAAGGTAGACTTACAGGTTTATTGTTATGTTACTATTGTTTAAGAGTTTGTGCTATAAAAGTATATCTAAATAAATAATAAAAGGTATTGAAGACAAATACTAAGAATTCTACCATGTTATTGATGAAAATATCGATGTAGTAATAAATAAAGTGGAAGTAAGATTAAATTCAAGCTCTAGAGTTCTTGACTTATTGGATATTGAAATTGAAATATTATGAAAGGATTATACTGATTATAAAAAATCAACACATAAGTAATAAGTACATTTGTGGTGATATGGAAAAAAACATATGATTTAAAGTTCAATGGAAATTAAGGTATTCAAATTGTTCATAACAAGTAATGTATGGATTATGTTATTTTATGAACATTATAAGTTATCATTTTATATTAGAGGAAAGTGTAATAATTAAAAGTTGTCATTTTTTTTCTTCATCGGTAAGTATTGTATTAAAATAATAACATTTCATAATTTTAAAAAAAAAATTTTTTTAAATGAAAATATTCAGATAGAGCATTTATATTCAATATGAAAAATAAAAATAACTTTAATTTCATCCAAACTTATTGATTTGGATAGATATTTGGACAGTTTTTTTGTTTAGTTTTTTTTTTTTTTTATAAACTGAAAAAAACAATGGAATTAATAAAAAATGTTATCTCTGTATTTAATTATGACTCATATTTATCAGAGCAAAAGATTGCTTTGACAGGAAATTATAAATATACATGATGAGTTAACAGTAGAAATAATAAATATAAACCAAACATTATAGAGAAAAATATTTATAGTGTTTTACCAGTTGTTAGTTTTAATAAGACCTCTTCAGCCAAGTAACTGATATTTTATCCGCTGTTAGCTTGCTTATATCTTCTTTTGAAACAAAAGTCACTTCTGTTGATGGAACTGTCATATGGAAACCATTTTTAGAAAACCTACCCTGAACTCCATCCACATTCAACCAAACAAAAAGGGCATACTTTCTGGCATAAAGAATTAATCTGGCACTGTGTTGGTCTAAAATTTCCAATTTTGCAACCTAAAAAAGTTTTCAATAACTTTAGACCAGTTGGAGCTCATCATGATTTAATAAAATTTATACATGAATCACTATATTTATTAATAGTTGTACTTATAAAAAACAAGAAATCAAAATATAAGTATGCATTAGGATAATTGTCTATGCATCCTCAATTGTCTATTTTTTACTTTCATTCTCTTTTGTTAAATCATTCTCATCACTATTATTATTATTTATTTATTTTCATTGGCATTTTATCTTTCTTGTTGTTTTTTGTTTTGTTTTTTTGTTGCAGTTCTGATGGTAACTTGAATTTTTGGTTGTGTAATGACTAATTATATTTAATAATATTTATTGTAGTTTCCGTATAATAAGAAAATTTACAGCTAAAATTGAGGGAACAAATATAAAATAAAATGTTTATATAAAGTAATTTGATTAATGTAATAACAATTAGTAGATTCAACCAATGAAAATTATTAACACAAGCTGACAAACTTTAAAATTGATAACCAATTGAATACCTCAACAGATGTTTCTGGATAGTTATATTGCCTCAATGGCAAATGGAACAAAAAATTTTCAGGTGTTATAACTGAATTTTCAACTTGTAATCTTGTTGTGTAGAAACAATTTTTATCTCTACAATAGTTCTCAACATACAGATTTAATACATTAACAGAATTGTTCTCCACCTATAAAAATCAACACAAAAAATGTATTAGTAATCACAAACAAAATATCTTATGAAGTCACTATCTACACATTATAATTATTATTTAGTTCAATGAAATTTTCATTCTTTCATTTCAAAATTTTCACATCAAAATGATGATGATATCACAGCAAAAAAAATTTGTATCAATTGAAGTGCAAGAATGAAATATTTTCTCTAATGAGAAAATGAGAAAGCAAAAAATAAAAATTAAATTGAACTATGGTTTGAAAAAGTTCACATTTTTATTACGCACCTTTTAGCAAATAATTTCATTTTAATTGCTATATGTTTTAATTTCTTTAAAAATGGTTTTCAATGTAGGATAGATTTATCAGGTTATTCAAAAACTGATTTTAATAAAACAATTAATTTTAATAATAGATATCTTTCAATTAATTCCACTAAAACTTCTTTAATTGTATTTTGATAGCCAATTAAATTACAGTAAGAATGAACTGTGAAAATATTTCAATTATCGAGATAGATTTATCACAAATGCATTTAATATGCTTAAAAATATAGAAAAATTAAATATTAAAACGAAATTGATTTGAAAAAGATGTTCTTACCACAGAAATATTTCGTGTAAATGTTTTCTCTGGGCATATAGAATTACTATCCCACCTATAAATATTAAATATTAAATTTGCATATTTATAAGACACTGCACCATCTGCTACAACATATACAGAAATTTGTTTTTCATCTGATGACATTTCGGGTGAAACTATTATAGGAGCGAAGAAGTCAAATGCATAGTATTGGAGCATTTTCCAATTTCCACAATAATCTGAAAATAAAGTTTGTTTTTACATGCTTGCTGCATTATTATTATTTTTTTTGTGTCTGTGTTATTATGTTATTATGTGTTATCTTACTACTTTTTTTTTTTTTGTCTTTTTGTTTTGTTATTACTATTCTTTTCTTTATGCTATCATTTCTTCTCCTTGATATCATATTTGCTGAATACCAAGGTAGATGGCAAATTTATTGTAAGCCAAGAATATGTATATTATAATAAATAAATAAATAAATGTTTTTACATGGACAAATTAAAAAAAAATGTTTAGTTGAAAAGAAAGAGACAGAGAAGCATATTTATGCTTTACTGCTAATATTATACAAATGGTATGATACAGACATAAGTAAATAAACAGAAGAATAAAATCCTTATTCATATTAATTAGAAAGAACATAACATACGCAATATCACCTATTTTTATAGACTTGAAATAATAGCAGAAACATTAGATACAAAACATAATATATAAATATACACACCAAAAAAGGTAAAATAAATGCTTTAGTATAGAGAAGCTAATGTATTTGAAAATGAGATTTTTATATATATTTCAAACACAAATCCGTGGTATAAGAAATAATTTATTTATCAAAATGATGGTGAGGTCTGGTAACCATATACCCATTGAGGCCTGGTTGTATCTAGGAAGGTCTCAGTCAACATCAGCTTGTGTTGAATATCAACACTCTTCAAACGAGAGCACAAGAATTGATTGCAGTGATTGCAGGGAGATCATAAAGGTACTCGCTGATTGGGCATTGAATGTAAAAACACTGCTTTGGTGAAAAACCATACCTTCAAATTGATGGCTAAGAACCATGGTATTGTTAGTTTACTAGCTGAAATTTTCTATATATGGTAGTTAGGAGTGAGTATGAATCAGGCAAAATTTAACAAGAACCCAGTAAGATGTAAAAATGCTGCATGGATGGCATAAATCCATTTAATAGTCTATTCATAAAGAGAGAGTACAACTGGAATGCTCAAATTATTGAGAAATATATTTTCTTCATATGATATGTAAAGTTCTCTCCAATATTGAATAATGGAGATTACTTTCCTTATGGAATAGTCTTGGTCGACATCAATGAGGATTCAATCCAGGAAAGAGCAATAATAGTTAATATACTATTTAAAACAACTAAACTCTTTCTCTACAATATACTCATTAGACAAGTCCTCTGCTATGTCTCAGCAAGGATACTGAGCAAGAAGTATGAACTAGGTCTATTAATATTTAGAAGAAGGATTTTGGAGTGTATACTAGAAATAATGTTGATGACAACTGGAGAAGAAGAATAAAACAGCAAAGCTATTCTTTAGGCAATGATCTTAATATTGCAAGGCATTAAATATTGCACTTATGTGCAGGCAGGCTGTCCAATTGTAGGATAACCCCCCCTGTATCCCAAAAATAACTAGGTAGGGAAAACAAAGGTCAGTGACCCAAATTCCTCAAAACTCAAAAATGAATTAAATAGAGCTCACTGAGCTATGATTTATGCTCAATATTAAATAAATATTCTTTCTGATATGAAAAAAATAATTACCAATAGCAGACCAAGATGGAGATGGCCAAATGTCATTAAGTTGCCAATAAAGTGCACCCATTGTTAGGCCTTCTCCTGATTCCAGGCGAATGCTTCGTAACCTCCGATATTTTTCACTTTCTACTTTTGTTGCCATTGCTTGATTTATCTATAAAAATCAATTTTATTATTATTATTTGAGTAAAAACTATAATGGAGGCTCATTATAACATGGTTCGCTTTACAACAGATTTGGATACAATGCATGTCTGGCACAGGTACTCAATATCTGATTAGTCTTCAAATAGAATGATGGTATTATATATATAGACATACATATATTTTGTTTTTCAATATTGTAAACAAATAATTAAAGGAATTAAATGTGTTAGTGGCATACTAATACATAATTGAAGAGAAGATTGGTTGGGATATTATGTCAAAAAAAATATATATAATTTATTTATTTTTAATTTTTTTTTCTTTGACTGAACACACCAACTAATCTTATCTTCAATTATTCACTACAGTCAATCGTCAATCCACAATTATCTTATAAATAAGTATATAATATACATGTGTGTAAGTAGATGGAGAGGGACAACCGAAAACAAGTTGGTTTGAAGGAATATAGGAGAGGAGACCAAGGTTCTACAAGGATCACAGGATCATCGGATGATGATGATGATATGTTATATAAGATAGTAACTTTATTATCCACTTTATTTATTTATTTTATTTTTTTTATTACTTTTATTAAAATATTTTAAACAGCCTTCTTAGGTTAGATGCTTACTAATTTACTAGTTTGATTTTTTAAATATAAATCTATTAATCCAGCATTTTGGTAATCTGACAGTACCAATCCCAACATATACCAGGATTAGTGGGATTCTACTGTACCAGAGGATATATTGTAAATCATTTTATTATAAAAGAAAAAAAATACTAATTAATATAATTTTTTTTAAAAACTTAAATCAATTAGAAATAAATACATTCTTAAAACTGAAATTATCTGAAAAAGTCTTTCGTCAAGGAGAGCATCTGATGGATCAAATATGTAAAATAGTGTTCTTATAACTGACTGTATAACTAATCATTAAGTCAACTATTAATATTTTTTTTTCTGTTTTTTTTCTGTTGGCATTACAGACCATGCAGATCTTTTGCCGTCTGCTCTATCTCTGCCTCTCTTGGGCTATTTCTTTCCATTTATCTGCACGCAATTCTATTGCATCTTTGTTGATTCTGTCTATCCATCTGCTTTTTGGCCTTTCACATGGTCTTTTGCTTTCTATTAAGGCATTCATTTTTAAATAGAGGCTTCCAGATGGATTGCTACGAGCTACATAGGGCATGTAGGGGCACTCGTATGTAGGGCAGGAAGCCCATCTAAACCTCCATAACCATCTTAACTTTTAATTTTATCAAAGATAAATCACATTTTTCAAATTTAATTTTATAGTAGACCATTTGTAAGACAAAGTATTAAGAGCATAAGTTATATCAGCCACTCTTAAGATAATTGTTTAAGTGCATCATCACTAAGTATCGGTTTACATATTTTAACTGTAGTCTATTCATTCCCTTCACATAATAATCATTAAACTTATGGTTTTCTCAATATTAATATATATTCCTGACCACAAAGGGATTCACAGGGACCACCCCTTAAATCTGAAATCTGCTACTGTTCCTGATTATAAGAATTGTTGATATTAGGAGAAGAGCAGTTTGGTTGGTAAGGCACTGAATTACAAATTTCCAGCCCAAAGTTTAACTTAGTTTGTGATGAATGAGTTAGAGTAGAAGGGGAGGGGAGCGGCTAACGCTTACTTGAAAGCTTTTATGGGCTAATCCTTGTAAAAGAATACTGTCAGTGTAGGAAATATATAAAATGAGACTCGGAATCCCCTTAAAAGGTAAGTACAGAAAAAACTAAATAAACATATACCTATAGTAAAGAATGAGCCAATCCGATAGACATAATATTGAATAAACCAAATAAAGATTGTTTGGTACATTGTATTTTATAGTAGTCTTACCTGAGAAAGATAAATGATATCTTTGATATCTTTGGGTTTTGGAAGATTTTTAAATATTTGGCTAATGATAGTCTGATTTCCATTTGGTGCATGTATTCTGCGCTCAACATACTGACTTCCCCAGTAAGTTTGATTAGGTGGTAGTGCAGGTTTTAAACACTCATATGATGGTAAACTATAAGATCCATATTCAGAAGCAAATCTCGGATTGGGGTAAATGCGAGGATCCCATCCATTACCATCATAATTGTAGTAGTGAACTAAAAAAAATAAATAAGTAGAAACATATCTCCACATATATTATTACACTAAGGCTCAAAATTGGTTTTGTATCCAATATAAACTCCTTTCAGGCTCAAATGTATGAATGGAGTTAGTGAATTGTACGCTCCAATTTTGTTTTTCTTATAAAAATAAATTTCAGGAAAAAAGTTATGAAGGAATTAAAACCTAATTTGCAAATAAGTCAAAAAGTATACTCTTTTTTTTTATTACACTCATGATTATTTTTATTATTATTATTGTTATTATTCACTACAAATGAAAAAAATATCATCAAAATTGGACTATTATTAGCAAAGATACAGCTTATTGAAATTGGACTATTATTAACAATGATACAGCTTATTGAAATTTGTAAACATGTTAGTTTAAAACATGAATCAAGTTTTAAATTAATTTTCATTTCCTTTGTCAATTATAATTACTGAGAAAATTAGAATGGATTTCTCTTTCTAATGATATATTGCATTATTTTATTTTCTAATAAATTTGTCATTCGATCACTGACCAATATACTGTGTGAATTATTTGTATGGGCCAACTTGCTTTATGATAATTAATGACAGAATAAAAATAAATCTCTTAAATGACATTTTAAAAAAATAAATAAGTAGAAATATTTTTTTTTTTTTTTTTTTGTTAACTCAAGAATCTTACAATTCTGCCTAAGAAAAGAATTAATCATCAGTTTACATTGTTAGAGATGTGAAGCAGAACAAAAGTTTATGCCATCCAAAATATAGCTAGCATCTGGTGATAATATTAGAACCATATCGCCAGGTAAAGATTTAAAAACAAAGCTCTTGGTCAGGTTGGGGTTTTCCCCTAAGATCTGTTTATCCTGAAGCATTCGTTTTTAGGTTGCAATGGATTTTAAGGTTTTTCTTTAAGATAAATGAGAAAAGATTAGCTAATTGTGAATATCATTAGGACAAAAATACATAAATCAAAGCAGACCAAAGATGACAAACCTTTCTTTAACTTCCTAAAGGCTGATAAATATATATAAAAATGATAAAAAAATCATCTTGTATAAAACAAATCATCTTGTAAATTTAACCAAGGCATGATAGTAAATTTTTTATCATCTCAAAATATCTTTATGTAAGCCCTTGCATCTTGAATAAACATATAGTGTTTAAAAGTAGAAAATATGATATCTCTAAATATTTTTTCATCTTAAGTTAACACTGTTTATTAGTCTCAATAGTAATTTTAAAAACATTAATTAAGATTTAAATGGTTAGATCATCTGAAAAGTCTAAAGTAAGGCCATAAAAGAAAATTCAAGCAGAAAACTCAGAGGATGAAGCTATTGATAAACAAGTAGAATGAATTATATTATTAGGCTCATTTATTTATTTGTTAAGGAACCAAATCCTTGTTTTAGAGACTTTTTTAAATAAAAGAAATATTACAAATGTTAAAGAACTAAAATATTAAATAAATACCATCTCCATAAAATGGTGAACCAGGATGTGAAGTATAATTTCCAATATTACTGGAAGGACTGGAGATGAAATAAGGTCTAGTCTCATCGATACCTAACACTATAGGCTTGATTGTCTCTACGTACAGCTTTACATAGTCTCCAATATACCTTTCGAAATTGCTACTTGTACCATACCTGGAAGGAAGCAAATATATCTGTGTATGCACAGAAAAATAAAGAAATAAAATATCAATAAAAAATGGATTGTTAATTTGGTTTCAAGGGCAAGTATATCAAAATGTAGTCACAATTTTCTAGTTTTATGGTAGTAATAAATCAATAACTGATGTTAATAAGAAAAATAACCAAGTTTTATTACAAAACTTAGTGATAACAAAAGATACAGCAGTGTTTTATGTAGCAAAATCAAAAGTCAGCTTATGATTTACATTTTATTTGATAATGAAAGTAAAACAACTGCAGTGGAATAGACCAAAGACAGATATTTTTCAGATAATTATAGAAAATGAATAAAGCATAATATTTTTTGGCTAGGTAATTAGACTGGCGAATCTATTACTATTTTTCAAGAACATATTTCATATTTTCAAAATGCAATGATTATCCAATTGATTTAATATTATGAATATTAACAATAGTAAAAAAATAATTAAGTACATATATTTTATTTATCTTTTAAAATTAAAGTAATTTCAAAGAGTGAAACTCTGCCATTCTAGAGATAGCCTGTAAAACATACATCAAGATATCAAATACTGCAACTAAAAATGTTTATAACTGTCCTGTAAGCACTTAGCCAGCATTTTTCTTCAAAGGGAACTAATAATCTCAAAATCCTAATATTTTTTCCATTCTGTTTTCCTCTCAAAGGAGTTGATTCACTTATTCTTCAAAAGCAGTTAACTTATTGTAACCCCGCCCCCAAAAAGATTGTAAAATCCTGGAGTTTTGAAACGAGGATCTCCAGTATAAGAATTTAGTAATCTGCCCACTACACTATCACTGAACTTAAAGTGATTCATTTATATTTTATGAACAAATATCGATTTTCTAAAGTAATTTAAAAAAAACAATTTTGGAAGAGGGACCTGAAGCCTTTCCTCCCCTCACTGGCTATATGCCAACCATCTTAAAATGGGAAATTGAAAATTGGCTATAAAAGACTGGAGTGAAAACTCATTAAGGAGGCAAAGCTTCAAATCAGACTGCAGCACCATAGTAAGTAAAATAAGTTTATAAGCATTTAATTAATATTTTCAAATGGATAAGAAAATTTCATATTAAGCTACATCATTAACAAACAAACCAATTATCCATGAGAGCACCCTCATTTTCATTGTTTCCAGCCCAGACTGCTAGACTTGGGTGATGCTGAAGGCGTTGGACCTGCTGTTCGATTTCAACTTTCACACTGGAAAGATATTCATCATATGTGGGGTACATGCTGCATGCAAACAACATATCCTGCCAAACCATTATCCCAAGACGATCACATGTCTAAAAAGTAAATATTCTTTTTAATAAATTAAGGGTAATAAGGATGAAATTTTAATTTATTTAAGCTTTGTCATATTCAAATGGAAATTAATTGAATTTACAATCTAGGACATAATGGGCAGTAGAATTCAACATTATTAACAACAATCTTTAGTGAATATAGCATTGTCTATAGTAAAGGTTAATTTCTTACAGGAGAGATCAAACAGGATGTGTAATATACAAAAAAATGAACTTAAAGCTCATCCCATTAATAAATAACCTGTATTATTAATATATTATTGTGTTAGTTAATTAGTTATTAAGATAATAATTCAGAATAAACAAATAAATTAGATAAAAATACAAACTTTACCGAAATGTTATATTTATTTTCTTTCAACTAAACAATTTATAATACCATTCATAATATTTACATATAAATGCTGTATATGTATAAATGCTCAATCAGTGCTATGTTCCAACTGCTAGCTTTATTCATTGTATATTGCATGGCAATAATTTGAATGTAACTTATTTAAATGAAATACTTAATTATTGCAAAAAAATAGAAAAGAGCAAACCTCATAGAATAAGTCAGACTCATATATTCCTCCACCCCAGACTCTAATCATGTTGGTGTATGCTTTAGCAGTGTCCTCCAGGAGAGCTGGAACCCTATCTTTATCTGCACTATATTCAGGCATAACACTTGAAGGAATCCAATTGGTTCCTTTAGCAAAGATTGGCTGTCCGTTTACCTCAACGTAAAACATTTTACCTAAAAAAAATGTTTATTTTGTTTTACAAGAATATTTGCTTATTTATGTTCATTTTGCAACTATTATAACCAAAGATTGATATAAAAAAAAAAACCGTACTCACTGAGATACCCTACCCTACCAATATACTCCATCGACTGCATAAAAATCTCCTGCTATTCAACTTTTGTACAATTAATTTTTTTAAGAGAGATCTTTATAATGTTAGAATTATTTATATTACAACTATAGATAGCTTTAAGTAATAGATAATAAAAAAGGTGTACATTTATGCTTGGATAAGGTATAAATTTACTAAACCAATCAACAACAATAATTATTTGTTTAAAATGACTAATTAATCATAAAATAAATATTCAAATTATAAATAAAAAATACAATTTAAATGGGAGGAATACCTAATATTATGAAGTTTTGTACTATTTTATATTCAAGTAAGATAAATCTTATAGCATGATGGTTTTTGTTCTACAAAAATGTTTCATATTCTATCATAGAATTCGGGGAAGTATGATGGTTTGGATGAGCAATCATTGAGGAACATTGAACAACTTGATTCTCTCATGTCTGATTGCTAAGTCTGTGGTTGTAGTCTTCTTTACCACTATTACAGAAATAACTATTCCATCCCAAAAAAAGTTTGATTGCCTGTCACCGATTAGTCTCAGAGTAAATTAATGCTGTTTTGTTCTACTAAGACCAAGCACATAAGCACCAGCTTAATAACCCAAACCTAAGAGAGTTTAGATTAATCCACACAAGTATCATAACCCCACTAATACTCCAAATGATTTTATTTATTTCACATTTAAAAATTCATTTAATAAAAGTTAAGAAAAAACAACATAATTTCATTCATTCATTAAAGTTATTTAAAGAGGAAAAAAATTACCACTCATAACTTCCGGCTCCATTACTTTGATTGTTCTGAAACCAATGTTAACAGATTTCTGCAATTGTTGAAAAACCATTTCGACTTTGTAAAGGTTTTGTTCACCATATCCGTTTGGCCACCACAATTTTATTTCATCCTGAAAATATGTATAAGATCATAAGTCAGTAGCTAATAATAAATAAAACCAATTTAAAAAATATCAGATTTTTGTCCTTTTCAAACAACCGATAATCTACAATTGTTTTCAGGATTAAATGAGCATTTTAAATATTTTTTCTGTAATAGTGCTGTAGTTAAAATTTTGGTACAATTTTATGACATTCATAATTAAATTTGAAAAGTAATACACATACCAATTTTAATATCTAGCTCATTCTTACATAACCAATGATTCACCTAGAGGTCCCAGGATGGTAAATTTTGTTTTTATATATCATAAAAATATGAACTAATATTAGATTTTTGGTATTAGTAAAGAAATTTATACTATTATTTTCTAATTTGTCGATTAAAAAAAAAAAAGGAATAAAAAGGGGAACAAAAAACAAAAGCATCAGGAGCTGAAACACACTTTAGTGGCACTAATATTGTATATATAAAATTACAGTACTAGTAATAATTTTAATCCTTATACATTATTTTAATATAAATTGTAAATTAATAAATGTATAAAAAATGAAGTTAAATAAATTAAAGTTTTTCTTTAGAGATAAATATATTTGATCAGACATTGTCATAACTACTTCATGAGTATTATGCATAAAAAAATTGAGCGATACCTTAGGAAGTGAAAATGAAACAGAATGACTCTGCTTATTGGCAATTTTGATAGTGACAGGAACCGAATATTTTCCAAAAGCAAATTCACTCCAAAAAAAGTGAGCTACAAGATTGTCATGGATTTGAAATAGTGAAGGTCCAAACCATGCAGTCAGGGTGACTACCCATTTATCCTTCTGTGGTTCTGTTTTAACTGTAATAGACTCAATCTGTGGTCCATCAGTGAAAACTATTTCAGCTTGTTTCCTTGAAAAAAAAATAAAAATAAATAATATAATTCATAATTTTCATCTTTATAGAGTCTGTATACTTTTCTGATTTCATAATTTGCTTATGATACAAATGCAAATATATTACTTTGTAAAAAAACAGTGATTCCAAACTAGGCTAATGAATATTTTCATAATTTCATAATATCAACAGTAGCATTTCGGCCACCTACCAGTTAATCTTCAATTTTATCCTTCATTTCACAAACTTAAAAATTTAAATATTTTATTTTCAAAATGTCAGCATAAATGCTGCTTCATAAAATTATCTTAAGATATTTTTTCTCTAATTTTCATGGTTCAAAATTAATTTTTAAATCTTAACCATAATATCATGAGATAAAAAACAAAACAAAAAAACATTCTGGACTTAAATGAAAATATTGATATGACAAATAATTATTATGATTGAAGATAGATTTATTAAATCTTTTTTTACTTTGTATTTATGATATTTACAACTGTATTAGTATAAATACATCAAGTAAATGTGTACAGAGGAATATAATCACATGAAAACGCTTGTTGAGAAACTAGCCATTGGTAGTATTCTATCAAAGAGGAAGCAAGGTTAGAAAGAAGAGGATTCAGATGGTTATGAAGTTTATTATTGAAGGATAGGTATCTGGATTGGGCCAAATTGGAAACATATGAAACATTAAGGTCTTAATGAATAAAATGGATTATTTTATTTGTGACAAAGTAAGGAGCATTGAGGATTTTACAAAGGATTTTGGATTGTAAGGATTGGATGTGAGAGGAATTTGATGGTTTAGTGGAGCCCCATAGCTCAACTCAGCAAGGCCAAATAGGTCTTATTATAGTAATGTATATGAGTCTTTTGTAATTAATTGGAAGTTTAGAACATTTCTCCAGCATTAAATTAGACTGATTCTTTTTATTTGCTACTAAGACGCTGCTGGTAAAATGAAATATTGATCCTAAAAAAAGGAATTATTAATAATGTTATGTATGTTTTACCACAAGAATGAAGGATTTGGTAAGATTGAATTTAGATTATCTTATGATTTTAAATAATGGAAATTTTCTAATTAATTTAATTAATTTTTTTTTCAAATATAATCTCTTTCTCTAAATTTAGTACTCAAATTATTACTAAAAGTCAGAATCAGCTAACCAAAATCTTTATATCGAAGTATAATATTTAATCATTTATTGATAATTTTTAAGATGAGCAAGTTTTGAAAGTTATACTAGAATTTTTAAGGTATTTTTTTTTCTCTAAAAACAATAATCCTGTTTTGTTTTATGACCATTCAACTGAATTAGATGACAAATTTGTGAGATGGTGGATAATAGAATGAGCTTACAAAAATATATTTTAAAAAACTTTCAAAATGTATTATTGCACTGTCCGGAAAATAATGCAGGATTTTAAGTTTTCTTTAAAATAGCCATCTGTATAACAAACTGTTTACATTTACTGGATTATTTATTTGTGTCAACTCAGTATTCATGAATGTCAGTGTTATGAAGTTTGTGCTACATTTCTTTGTTGAAATAAAAACCACTATTTTCTGTCCATAATTGTTACTTGTGATGAAAAGTGGATATTTTATGATAACAGTAGACATTCTAACAGTGGCTTGACAAAGGAGAAGCAACAGAACATTTTCCAAAGCCCTCTGCTCATCAAATAAAGGTTATGGTTACTGTTTGGTGGGCTTCATTTGGTTTGACACACTACAGCTTCTTAAATCCTGAAGAAACCATCAATGCTGAATCGTACTGTAACTATACCACTACTTATGTGACAAAAAAATTAATAGACAAAGGGAATTAGAAAATTTATTTTTGGAGTTTATCAATTATATTCTGAGGCAATGGAAAAGTTTGCAACACATTGGCAGAAATGTGTATGATATTAGTGAAGACTATTTTGATTAAATAAGACAGTGGTAAATTTTTCTTTTTGCTTTTTAAACCATAATCCTGCATTATTTTCTGGACAACCCAATAGCATTTTTGAAAAAGTATGATCACTTAAAAAATAAAACATATTTTAAAAAATTAGAATGAATCATCTTTAGAATTAAGAAATAATTATGGATGCATCAATGTAACTTGGACCAATATAAATTAATAACTGATTCATTTTTGATTTATTAATCTTGAAATTTAAAATAATTTAGCCATCTATTGTTTATTGTTAATTTTTGTGAGCAAAGCTAATTGGGATATTCTTACCAAATTCCCACTGATGGGAATGATGGACCCCAGTCCCAGGAGAAGGAAGCCTGCATCTTCCTCAGCATATTGACATGACACTCACCATGGTAGGAAGGAGGAGGGCAGTTCGGAGGCACAACATAACCCTGCTTCGTTGTTAACCTCTCGGCCTCTTGAACTGGTGACTTTAGGTAAACATCTAGTCTGTTATTGCCAGCCTGAAACGGATCAACAGTCAGACTATAAGAAATCTTAATGGAGAATTTTCCCAATGAAGTTATCATTATATTTAATTCAAATATAGTACTAGCTATTTGTGTCTCAAAGGTCTGGACATAATTAACAAAAAACAACAATTGTGTCATGAGGTATTCATTAAAGAAGCAATACTGGAACATAGATGTGCCATTTCATGAATTATGCTAAAATTCAGTGCTGGCCTTTTGGAAAACCCAGGCAATTTCCACAAGACATCTACAGGGAAGGGGATGGCAGCCGTTTGTTAGGAATAAAACAAAAGTTATAAAGCATATGAGAATTTCTAATTTCAGCCGATTAATAAAGCAACTGAATAAGAGACATATTGAATGAAATGAAATTCAAATGTTACTTAATATAAAAAAATTTAAGAAATAAATTAAATTTTTTAGGTAGGAAGAGGGATATGACCTCATTGTCTGGAAGTACCAAATTTCTCAGTCCGCCACTGCTAAATTTCTGAGGGGCACAAGGAAATCCTCAAATGACACTGGAAGATGCTTACATTTGCAAAGCCATTGTGATGAAGCACAACCGTTCTTAATTACACCACTGGCTCATAATGCAAAAAGATGTTTATGTTAACTATAATTTTATATAAACAATTGTTCAGCAGTAAAGTAGAAAAAATTTACTTTAAATGGAAGTAGAGTTTATCATTGTTAAAACCATTTGAAGAGGACTTTTGAGTGGTTAAACTATGCTAAATCTACATCATGAATAATGAACCGTTCGAGACTTATTTTTATCACCCTCCAAATATACTACAGATACTCCACTTTTAGAAAAACTTCCTGGTTTAATAAGCTTTAAGACCATATTAATTAAGTTGAGAATTATTGGAAAAAAAATTGAGATCCACCTCAAGTTGTGTAAAAAAATGATGTAATTTGAAATTCAGTCACCTAAAAGTAACCATTTTTTCAGAAAAAGTGCCTACAGTAAATTATTCCAAAGCTTTCATTTTTTTTCTAATGAGTTAGGAGGTATTATAATAAAGATGAATGCATAAACATTCATATTATGAATAAAACAAAAGTTTAAAATAAGGAAAACTGCTGTTTGCTTCAATCATTTTCTTGTAAACGTAAATATTAGGATTAGAAAAATTTGGTTGGTTTCTTAAAAACACGAATCAATTCCTATATGAAAGATTTTGGTAACAAAACAGTTCCATTATCAGTTTCAATGATAAATATCCAAAAAATCATTATTTTTACAATTTTTTTTTATAAAATATAGATTTAAGCATTTTTCTTTATTATAATACATACAAGGTAATGGAAAAAAATTATGGCTTTGCAATAATTGATTGTAGCCATTTTTACTGGAAAAAACAGGTACTTTTAGATGTCTGGATATCAAATCACATATTTTTTTTACATATCTTGAGGTGAATCTCAATTTTTTTCTAATAAACCTCAACTTAACTAATATGGAATTAAAGCTTATTAAAGTTTTTCTAAAAGTAAAGTATCTGTAGTATAGTTTGAGGATGATAAAAAAAAGTTGCGAGTAGTTCATGATTTTTTCAAAACAAATCTCAGCATAGTTTAGCCGCTCAAAAGTCCTCTTTATGTGGTTTTAACAGTGACAAAGTCTACTATCATTTGTATAGTTTACTATGGTTCAATTGTTAATTACTTAAACTAAATATTTTTTTAGTTATCGCTTACTATTCAATAAAAAATATGACACTTAAAAAAACATAAAACTTGAATTTTCTACTCTTCTACTGAAATTCAGACCATTGTTTATATGATTTTATTGTTGTTCTTGAGGTCTGCTATCACTCCTTTAACTATTCTGCTTTACTTACAAAACACCCTGTAAATATAAACATGTTATAGACATACATAGCTAAAAATTCGAGAAGATAACAATGTCAATTAAAGAAAAAATATTTCTTTTAAGTTATGGATCTTTATGTGGTTCGCCGTAGTGCAACCAGGTGGTGGGCTGTGGGTAATGATCAGAAAAGATTCATTTGAAAGCTGGTAGATGGTAGCTTATATGTCCCCCATGAGTAGGTGGATTTTGGAATTCAGATGATTTATAAACAATAATTAAAGATAGTCTGACAACTATTTGGCTGCAGGAATTACAACATTTCTTAAACGGGGAAAAATAAAAATTGACTTATAAAGAAGAATATATTATATTATTTATGCATTATTCTTAATAAGAGAAACCATATTACGACAATTTTCCATCACTAAACTTCTTTTGGGTCACTAGTTTTATTTCAAACTTATTGATTATTAATAATCATCATCCTTATCATCAACAGAGTTTATAATAATTTATTAAAAACTCTGTTGTTAATGAGGAATTCAACATTTTTCTGTACTAATTAAAATATATTTTGAGATCAGTGGTGAAAATTTACAATGGTTTTTAATTTTCCATTTTCGACACTATGCCTTAAGGGGAGTGGCCAATAGCTCGTAAGTGTAATGAGTATAGGTGACCTGAATAAAATATACTTTACGGCCTATGGATACCACATGATTATGCAGGCAAGCTAACCATGTAATATAAGTAATTAATGAAGTGTAATATAATAATTTAAATATTTTACCACTAATAGATGCTTGATGTTGACATTATAGCGCACAAACATATTGTTACATGAAAGGATATGGCGATCATTCAAATAAACTTCTCCGATTGTGTCAACACCATGGAGCACCAACCATACGCTCTTGTGCTTCAAGTCGGCAGAAGAAACTGTAAAAAAATGAAGTAATTTCGTACCTTCTTATTTATTTGAATTACATTATATTATTTTGAAATACATTTAAAAAATAACATCTCTATATTCCCAGTTATGTGATTTAAAGTCTAGCTTATATGTATTTCAAAGTCCAGGTTCTGCCTTATCTTAAAAAAAAAAGAACGCACAACTTTCACTTACCCCTCTACTTTAAAGAATGAGAAAAAGAAAGGATTCTTAATACATTTCAAGTTTGTGACACATGTATCAATTATCAAGAAACTTTTTCCTCCTTTGGAATACACCATTGAGTATATATCTATTGAAGATAATTTATTTTAATGACTAATTGAATAGCTTTCTTAATTATTTATAAAAGTTCTTTTTTTTCCATCTCACCTCAAACGGATATCTAGGGTGCAAGCATGTATTGGAATCACCTGCATGTTTTAAAAATTGAGACCTAGGATCCTTTTCATAAGGGAATCATGGGTAATGAAAAACTTGCAAGAAAAGGAACTAAACTCCCACCTTGGAGCCAGAACCTTCATTATACATCTACATCCAGTACCAGTGGAAAAAGAGCCTTGACTGAAGTGAAGAAGAAAAAAAAACTTTATTTTGTCTTTATCCGATTGACTATTGAATTTGAGTACTCCCAGACTACAGCAGACTTATAAGACTCCTGAAGGTTTATGCGATAAGGGGGGGGGGGTGATGAACTCTCACTTTTGGGGAAAAAAGTACCAAGAGCCTTGCTGATATGTTTATTCTCACCATTACCACTAATGATACCAGTTCACAGAAATTAGATTTTTGAAATAAAACAAAAATAAATAATTGGGTGAATAAAAAACTATCCACAGTTGGATTCTGAAACTAAAATAGTATTTTGCATGGCTCTTAAACAAATTATTAGATGCGACAGAAAATATCAAATTTATGCTCACTATGCAACTTTGCTAACTTTAGTTTGAATTAAATAGAATATATATATATATATGTATTATTATTATTTTAACAACGAATGGTCGCCAGCACAGGCGTTTTTACGGTGGGGAGGACTTTCGGGCCGAAGCCCTCCCTCAATATGGCCAAATATAACCATGTTTTATGGTAAAAAAAATTAAAAAATTAAGACTTAAAGTATTATTGCTCGTTTAATCACATTTAATATGACTTCAAGAATCACTTAAACACCATTCCATGTAGGTAGTTAGAATCTTTCTGTTTTTCCAATGAAAGTATCGAAATATATATGAAAAAAAAATCTTCCGGGCTGAAGCTCCTCCCCCAAAAATTAAATTCTGGATCCGCTAGTGGTCGCCAGTGTCGCCAATAAATGAAAATTTTTTTTGTAAACATCCATGTTTCTTTTTAATTATTCGTTGTTTGAGTACGAAGTATAAATTTGTATTAATTGTTTAATACAATTCACATTTAAATTAAAATAATAATAATACAAGTTCCGGTTGTTTCGTTACTTTTTTCATGATAATTTTTTTTCTTACCTTCATAGGGGATGGGGAGAGAGGAGATCCCCTCCTCTGGATCCTCTAGTGAGTTTAGAACGTTTTTCAAGCAAGTGAATGGAAACAAGGATCGGTTTATTTTTGTTGTAGACTTGTATGAGGACTCTAAGTAAAATGTTTTTCAAGATGTATTCCTAATTAATGGATTTGATAAAGTGGAATATTGTTAAACAAAATGTAGAAGGTTTACGGCGAAGGGTAAATGTGATTCGTTTGGACTTATTTTGATTCTTCAGTTTTAACACCCTTCTTCATAGGCTGAAATATGGTGTCAAAGTTAAACTAAAAACTGGCACAATCTATATTTGTGTGGTAACACATATAGGTGTAGGGCATTAATGGATGAAATTCGTCGTATCGATTGCATCGGCATTATGTACGCCACTGGTTAGTACAGGCTGTCAGTTGACGTAAAGCGGTAGAATACTACCAGATATAAGGTTTCATAAACAGAATATTACGACTAGGAGAACAATAAACAATTTAAAAAGATGCAAATTTGTCCAGATTATTGTCTTAATACAAATTGTATCCGGATACATGTCCCTCCTCTCCGAATGATCTTTTCTTGAGATTTTCGTTCTTTTGGCTAAAACTATTCATTTGTTCAGACGAACGATTGCCGCGATTTTATGGAAACTGCTTCACAAGTTGAGATGATGATGATGACAACGAGAGTGACAGAACGACAATTTTTGTAATGGCTTTATTGTTTTCCAAGACTCCTAAGTCATGGGATTTGATTTATACATAATTCTACTTGCTATCGAATTATAAATGCTTCGTTACCGTGACTGATTGAGGAAGTGAAAATGCTCGACTATGGCACTTCATGGTGAAATAAACATATATAAATTGCGTTGTTGTACTTATATCTAATCAAGTTATAACTGAATCAAGAAATTAAACCACTCATGATGGGGAAAAGATGCTAAAGATGCCAATTTACTTCGCCAATTGGTTATCATTGTTAAAATATTAAAATATCTATATAAAAATCCTATATGCTACCGTCATTAGGCTCATTTAGATATGTTCAAAAGTGGAATTGAAAAATCATCGATTCTTTTCGTATCCAATATTTACAATTCAAACTCCTTTGCAGAATCGCTGAAGGTCCTTATTAGGTCATATACAACTTTACCATAAAGACTTCAATATTCTCTTTTTTGTAGGTTTGAACCGAATTTGATATCCAATTATTAATTCCAAACTTGTAGCTCACTGTAACTCTCTAGTTCATAAACTTTAATTTAAAACAATTCATGACAACCGTCCGAAGCGTATGAAAATAAGATGGCCTGGAGACCTCCAAATTCAATCTAATCATTGAAGTGTTACCAATGTGTATTTTCTTTACTAGAAATCTTATCATATTTAACATTCTTCTAGAAAAATTAATTTTATTTATTGATACATGAATTTCAATAAATTAATTAAAAAATTAAAACCTTATATATCTTAACTTCCGTACTTCTTCATAGAGATTATCTTCTGAAATTCATCAGTTTTCAAGATGACATTGCAGTGGATGGTAAGGGTAGGAGTGGATTATTTATTTTTGAAATTAAACCACTCATGATGGGAAAAAGATACTTCTATATCGATGCTCAAGCAATAATTTACTTCGCCAATTGGTTATCATTACTTATATATATATATATATTACTTAAGTCAAAATAAAGTTAGTAAAGTTGCACAGCGAGCATAAATTTGATATTTTCTATCACATCTAATAATTTGTTTACGAGCCATGCAAAATAAAGATTTCAACAGTAGATAGTTTTTTATTCACCCAATTGTTTATTTTTGTTTTATTTCAAGAATCTAATTTCAATAAACTGGTATCAGTAGTGGTAATGGAGAGAAGAAACATATCAGCAAGTCTCTTGGTCATTTTTTCTTATCCCCAAAAGTGAGAGTTCATCACCCACCCATTACCGCATAAATCTTCAGGAGTCTTTTAAGTCTGCTGTAGTCTAGGAGTACTCCAATTCAATAGTCAATCGGATAATAAAGACAAAAAAAGTTTTTTTTTCTTCTTCACTTCATTCAAAGCTCTTTTTCCACTGGCACTGTTTGTTTCGATATCTAGGCGCAAAAACATCCAGGTACTCAGCGCCAGGTCATCTGGTACTGTATGTTGATGTATAATGAAGGTTCTGACTCGAAGGTGGGAGTTTAACTTCTTTTCTTGCAAGTTTTTTATTAACCATGATTCCTTTATGAAAAGCAATCCTAGGCCTCAATTTTTAAAACATGCAGGTGATTCCAACACCTTCTTGCGCCCTAGAAATCCGTTTCAGGTGATATGGACAAAATGACCTTTTATAGATAATTAAGAAAGCTATAAAATTAGTCATTAAAATAAATTATCTTCAATAGATATATGCTCAATGGCATATTCCAAAGGAGGACAAAGTTTCGTTATAATTGATATATGTATCACAAACTTGAAATGTATTAAGAATCCTTTATTTTTCTCATTCTTTAAAGTAGAGGGATAAGTGAAAGTTGTGTGTTGCGCGTACCAATTTTTTTTTTATTGTCAAGGCCAATGATTTATTTATTTTTTTATGTATTATTTTCTGACTATGCAGCTTTAAGTGAAAGTCGTCAATCCTCCATGTTTGGACTTCATTTTGGGAAAGTGCAGTCACTTTTTTTTTTTTGGAAAAATTAGCCTTTTTTTAATATATAGTTACAAGGAACATAACGATATGCAATTTCTAGTGATGTGGGGGAGAGGTGCGCTTTTGGGGAGGAGGAGAGGGAGTCTGGTCCACGGACTACCCTATTCCATCAAACCTTTTCCTCTTATATCACTTCTTCTTCGAAATCTAAAAATTAATAAATGTTTACATCAATGACTCATATCAAACACGTTATCGAAGATAAAATGAGTAATTGAAGACACTTTCGTATGATCAAACATGAAAGATGCCTTAAAATTTTCCAAACTCTGAAAACCTGTATCTCATAAACTATTTGCTTTACCGAGCCTGTGTTGGTCTTAAATAGTAGCATAATTAATCTACTTTAAACATGTATAGTATAATTTTTACCGAAAACGTATTTCTTCATTGATAAAATGGGAAATAACCGAAAATATAGCAGTTTTTGGGATATTCAAAAGTGATCCGGGGGAAGAAGAGGGAAGGACGAGGTCGAAAATTTGGATTTTGCATCTCAGTCATATCCCATACAATAAATAAAAAGAAATTTTCTACCCCCGTTCAATGCAACATACGGTATATAAGGTTAATAGACTAACAGAAATGACAGCATACTAATTATTTTTTTAATCCGATTATAAAATTCTACGTATCTTAAAACCTAAAATTTCGAAATTTAAGGACGAAGGTTAATTTTATTTCTTGACCGATTACAGAAGTTAATCATTGAAAAAAATAATCTAAAATAACTACGTGGAAATACGTCAACTTCATTAACAATCCTTCAATGTACATTCACCATATGAT